CAATCTATAAAAACATACAAGTATCTTTATATCTGAGAGCGTTTCTGCGGAGAGAGCGAAAGCGAAAGAGAAGCAGAGAGACGAAGATAAAGCAAAGTATATAAAACAAAATCCAAAATCTTCTGCTCGAAACCAAAACGAGTTTCGCTCACATCAAACGCGGCAAGGAAATACGATTGAACGCAAGACGAAAGCCAGCAAGAAGAATGCCAAAAAACATAATAACCATTTAGAAATAATTATACATATTATAATCGTAGTCCCAAACGGACGTACAGGTAGTACGAGATATATCTCTCTATCTGTATCTGCTGAAAGGTATTTAATTCTGTTCGGAAACTACTGTTCGATTCTTTGTGCGGAATGCGGAATGTATCTCCCAAAGGAGAGATTCCTCCCCATTGCCATTACATGTATGTGATGCCTCCTCAATGATGATTGAGCGTACAGATACAGATGCACAGATAGAGATACTCGTGGCCCAAACATCGAACAGGAATCCCATGGCGCTTCTAATTAAAGGAATTCCAATCTCTGACTCTCTGTCTTTGGATGTTGCATGTGGTTTTGGTTATTGAAGATGCTCGCACATGAGTTGCATATCTTTAAGGTGTTTGGGTCTCTAAGGTCATTTCACATACGAGCATCTACTCGAGAGACAGCCGTTCTTCCAAACTTCAGATGGTCGGACCGAGTAGTCTCTACAGCGGACACATGCCCATTCCCCTTCCATCCTCCTCCCCGTTTCAGGTGCATCATCCATCCACCAGTCGGTCACGAAAAAGCATTATTTAATTGCATTTACAATTTTTAATTGCGATTCTCACAAAACGAATTTCATTGCCATTGTTTGTAAAACTTTGTATGTTGTTGTTGAAACTGAATAAAGGTTGCTTAAAGGCCAGGGGCATCAGATATAATAAAAATAGAGATACAAAAATGTATTTGTGAATCGATAGAAATTCACAGATGACGAGGAAGTGCAGTTCTCAAAATGATTCACGCTGAGAGCGGAGAATATCTAATATAACATATCATATAAGGAGATACCAGATCTTTTAGGATCTATTCGCACTTACAACATCTAAATATCCGTACTAGTAGGGGACCTGTGCACCCTAGAATTCAGGGAAAAATACTTGATAGATAGTTTTTAACCTGAAAAGGAGTCCCAGAACAACACATGAATGTCATCCAGACTGAATCTAAAGATATTTATTGGGCTTACAAGCAAATTTCGCATAAACGAAAGAACCCATTCCGAGCAGTTGCTGTTCTTTTGGAATTGAAATAAAAATTCAATCAGAAATCAACTAAATCTGAAGATTATTCTCAAATAAATTCGTATTAGAGTTTTATCAGCGGCTTTTATGAAATATATTATCAATAACGTACATATGATATCGTATGTATGGCTGTTACCTCCATTCGCATCGCTGGCTGTCAGATTCCAGGCGAAAGTTTTCTAGATTCGTGAAAGTTGGCTGATTTTGTTCCAAGTTTTTACGCTGGCAAATTGAAATCTCTCGACACGCAGGTACTGCAAAAACCACGAGCCTCGAGCTTCGAGCCTCGAACCGCCGGAACCTTCAGCCTCCAACCTCCAACCTCTAACCTCCAGAGAGGGCCCAGCCCCTGCCCCTCCGCACCTCTCCAACCACTGCAGTTTGACAAGAACTGTGCTGTGTATTGGGTATTGTGTGGTGGGGTATAAGTTTGTTTGGCAATGTTTTCAAGTGTTCATCGTGTTGTTCGCTGTTCGATTTTGTTGTTGTTGGTCGATTGCCGATTGCTGTTGCTGCTGTTGTTGCTGTGGCAGTGGCAGTGGCAGGCACCTCTCACGTGGCAGCTGCCTCTGCTGCTGTTGCTGCTGCAATTGGAGTGCACTTTGGTCCATTGTTTATCGATTCTGCTGCTGCTGCTGGTGTGGCTGCTATTGCTGCTACCTCCGCGAGGGAGGCTATTAAGGAAGGTGGCCATGCCACAGAACTCCAACAATTTCATTCGCAATATATAGATTTCATTCATGGCAATTCCATTAGGCGAATGAGATGTTTCAATCTCGAAATCTCGGGGTGTGAAGTGCCTGCCACACGTGCCGCAATCCGCTGAAGCTGAATCACTGCAGAGAGAGAAAAGCAGCTAGAATATCTCCTTCTCTATCTCAATATATCTACAAATTTCACATAACTGAAAGGACACGTTTATTTTTTCCTTTAAATTAATGTATTTCTCACAATCGGAGTTCGATGGGCCCTAGCCACTCGTTGCACCTACCTGTTTGCTGTGGCACTCACCTACCCTCGAGTGTCCTTTCCGTCGCTCAACCCACGAGCATCGTCTGAGCCTTTCGGCTGCGTTCGGTGGCACAACATCCATTAATAGCTAATTACGGGAGGTTGTAATATATTGCGCAAGCACCACAGAGCAAAAACAAACAACAAACGGGGGATTGAGGGGGCAGGGGGCAGGGGGCAGTGTGGGGACACCAGACACCGGACAATGGTTCAGGTGTCTGCGGACAACGGACACGGGGAGTCACCTTTGGGATGGAAATGGGGATGGCATAGTCTGACGTGTGGCTCCATTAATAGCCTGTGCCCCGATTTGCATATGCGAGGCGGAAAGTGTCCAATGGCCCACGCGATGCACCATGCACCATCGGAACGGGTGCCTTGCCCCATTTGGTGCCTGGACTTGAAGAGGTGCCGCCACACTACACTGACGCGTGGGATGTCAAGACTTATGAGAGGCATGCCCTGGCTCCAGTGGCACACACACAATAACAGCGGGACACAGACACACATACTCATGCACACAAATGAGATTAAAAGTCAGTGCTAAAGAGAAGGGGCAGGGGCAGAGGCAGGGGCAGAGGCAGTGGCAGGGGCAAGGCTCAACTTCCCCCGCCTCGGAGTGGTGTGTGGCAGGGTGGCAGGGTGGCAGGGTGCATGGTGAAGGATTGGGGCAGGTTCAACGACATGCTGCGACATCGAGGCTGACAACGCGGCGCCTAATTGGATTTCGGCCCGAGCGCTCCACTTTTGCCCGAATGTGGCACGAATGGGCTGGTGGGCATGGTGGGGCGGATGGGCGGATAGGTGACGTATCGAGGGCGTCTTTGGGGCAATCTACCCCCTAACCCGCCCACCCCCTCCCTTTCTAAGCACCACTTTTCGACGCAATCAACAGCCGCGAAACGCAAGGGCAGCGAAATGAAATTAAAGCCGAGGTCATGACGTGCTGGTGGCAGAGTGGGTCCAGGGGGTGGTGGGGTGGTGGGCTGAGTGGGTGGAGTGCAGCCGAAAAAAGCAATAAAAGTGACGGGAAAAGTTGAGGCGTTGAGTGGGCGACGACGAATAAGGATATAGCCGTCTAAGGACGACAGCCAGCAAACGAAAAACGAGAAGCAACTTTCGCTGGAGATGAAGATGGAGATGGCAGGCGCGATTCTTGAGGCGAATCCTGAGGCTCTGCTGTCATCAAACCGACGAATTTTCACCAACAAAAACTTTCCCCACAAGAGAAACACACAGAAAAAGAAATAGCAAGTGTGGGAGAGCGAGCGAGGGGAAAAGGAGAACTGTAACTGGAACTGGATTCGGATTCGGAATTGAAAATGAGGGAGGTGGAGGACAAGGGAGCAGCACTCCCCTGTGCCCACTCAGGCAGCATCCCAAACATTCTGTGGCCTGCGGCGAATGCACTCATGAATATGCATTGAACGATTCGCTTAGAGCGCCATGAATGCAGTGAATGAATGCCCGGGGAATACCCGGGCAATACCCACATCTCACACACGCCCCCGCTTTCCGAAAAATACGAGTAATCCCAGACTCATCGCTGGACTGGAAATGTTTGCTCGTAGACGGCGCCCTTGGGGAGAGCTTCCAACCCTCCCTTCGAAAAGGGATTTCTCTCATAGCTGTGGCAAGAGCAGAATGGCGAAAGGGAAGTCATTATTCGGACTCAAATCTACTTTGGTGTTGGAATAATACGAGTTCCAGAGCTCCGCTAAGCATGTAGGATGTAGGATATTCTTGATCCAGCAGTCGATCCAACAGTCTTTATGCTCTACCGGTCCTGTCTGTCTTTCTATGAGAAGCATTTCCCCAATGGAGATAGGGAAGGCATTATTCGGACTCAAATCTACTTTGGTGTCCGAATAATACGAGTTCCAGAGCTCCGCTAAGCATGTAGGATGTAGGATATTCTTGATCCAGCAGTCGATCCAACAGTCTTTATGCTCTACCGGTCCTGTCTGTCTTTCTATGAGACGCATTTCCCCAATGGAGAAAGGGAAGTCATTATTCGGACTCAAATCTACTTTGGAGTCGGAATAATACGAGTTCCAGAGCTCCGCTAAGCATGTAGGATGTAGGATATTCTTGATCCAGCAGTCTTTATGTTCTACCGGTCCTGTCTGTCTTTCTATGAGAAGCATTTCCCCAATGGAGATAGGGAAGGCATTATTCGGACTCAAATCTACTTTGGTGTCCGAATAATACGAGTTCCAGAGCTCCGCTAAGCATGTAGGATGTAGGATATTCTTGATCCAGCAGTCGATCCAGCAGTCTTTATGTTCTACCGGTCCTGTCTGTCTTTCTATGAGAAGCATTTCCCCAATGGAGATAGGGAAGGCATTATTCGGACTCAAATCTACTTTGGTGTCGGAATAATACGAGTTCCAGAGCTCCCCTAAGCATGTAGGATGTAGGATATTCTTGATCCAGCAGTGGATCCAGCAGTCTTTATGTTCTACCGGTCTATGAAAAGCACTTCCCCATTTCCCCAGTTGTACTATGAGGAATACTAGATTCTGTGACTTTTCTTTTGGTTTATTTTCCTTAACATACATACATATTTATACCAAAGTTATTCCTATATTTTTGCTAATAAAATATCTTTGTAATTATTTGATTTCTTATGAAATATATTAATTATTATAGTTAATTAAATATAAAACTTAAAATTGATGTCGTATGTATCCTCTTTTGCAGCCTGGGATATTGGGAATTCGGTGCAGGACGCGTTTGTCATTGCCGTCGAGGAGCACGCCCGGGAGCGACTGCAGCGATTGGCGGCTCTCAATCGAGTGACGCCCGTGGACATAACCCAACTGTCGAAGAAGGTGAGTGTGACTATGGGACTTGTTTACCCAAGGATGACTCCCTCCATATCGGATCGATTTCCAAGGAATGGCCATTTCAGCTTTCGATTATTTTCGCCAGAATATTTGTAATGGAACTTGAAACGGATTTCCATTGAGTTTTAATCATTTTGCCAGTAGAATATTGTGGCTGTTTCTCGGGAGTTCTTCGGGCAATTGAAGGGAATTTCAGCGGGTTTTCGCATCTCCAATGACCAAAAGTTTTCCCATTACTTTGCTTGCACTTTTCCGAGTTGCAATCAGTGGAACCGAATCTCCTACCTTCCTTCCGTGGCTCTGTACCTACCCTTCCCTGCTAAGCCCCACCGGGAAAGAGAGGGGTAGCCCATGGGGAAACGTTTCCTGTGGACTTCCAGTAGTTTTTCTCTCGAATTAAATTGCTGTCTCTCTGTCCAGGGCAGGAGGCACTGGCACTGCCTCTGTTTCTGTCTCTGTCTCTGTCGCTTCGTGTTTGTTTGATGGTCAATCAGGAAGGTGCACGAGTGCATGCCACTACATGGTGCATGCTGCATGCTGCATGTTGGATTTGCCGCTAAAGCAAAACTTGAATGTGAGATTCCACTCAATGTTCAATGTTCGATTTGGAAACCGACATAAAAGCATAAATCGAATGGGAAAACGTTTTATCAAAACAGCTTTCTATCACAATGACAGTGCCCCAGTGATTGCCTCTCTCTGGTGGTGCCACAAAGTGCCTGCCCCTCCCTAAACGGACAGACAGACGAGATACGCGCACGGGTACGGGTACGGGTATGGGTACGGGTACGGGTACGGGGACAAAAATGAGGAAGTACTCACTCACTCACCCAAAATTCAATTAAAAATTCAACAAACACAACACGAAACAGAAAGACACTGAAAACTGAAACTAAAAGTGGAAATAAGACCAAAAAAAACAACAGAGAAACAGAAACAAAATACAACAAATAAAATACAAAAACTAGAAACAAAAGTTTGTATAAACGTGAAAGCGAAAGCAACAAAAAAAAAAAAACTGCCATCAAGAGTTACGCAAAAATGCAAAAGAAAAACAAAAAACAAAAAGGAAGGTAAGTTTCGGTGCCTTCTCGTGGCCGAAGCATTGGATACCCTTTACGCTCCATTGTTCGCAGTTCGAATGATTCGTGGAAAATGTATCCTTTCGCTTATGGGAGCACAGCGAAAAAACAAACCAAATTGTGTTCTCTCTAACAGAAAATCAAGTGTAGAGTGAGCGAGAAAAAAAAACGAATTTTACGGATTTGACACAGTAAAAATTACGATAAATTACGAATCCCACCGAATGCCTTTGATAACGAATCGATTCGGTTGTCTCTTCATGCAGGGCTCCATGTCCTCCGATTTGAATGGCAAGCAAATGACTCGCCAAAGAACTCTTTTCGATCAAAAAGATGGTAAATGCTACGGATATAGTAAATCGAATCACTTTTAAAGAAGGAACAGACTGTGCTGTTGTTTCTGAATATCGTAATACTCTTTTGACAGTGTCATGCAACCCTTTGTTGAACAGATTATTCGCGTACTCTCGAGCAAAGAGATGCAAACAACTGCAAATCAAATATGTGGATAATTGAAAGTGAAAAAACACAGTGCGATCCCATTTGCATGTGGGTGTTTGAGTGAGTGAGTGAGTGGATTCAGAGGGGACTAATCAAGCGATTTACCCTTTGTGGACGAAGGAGGAGAAGGAGCAGGAGCTTACATAAAAGCTATTCCCCAGATTAGCCGACGCGGTGGCTATCCATTTCTCTGTCTCTCTCTCTCTCTCTGTCTCTCCTCGTGTGTGGGTCACTCAGTGAATGAATGAATGAATGGGTGTGTAAATCGAGTTAATTAATTATTCATTTCCCCCACATTCGTATTCGGTATTCAGTCTCTTAGTATTCGAAAATGTATCTGGTGGATGGGACTGGGGGTTGCCTGTAAAATGTTATGGATGGATGGACATGGACTGCCTTTTAGAATGCGTGTCACGATTTGAATGATTATGTGGGTGTATTCATTGGAGAATAAGTTGTAATTGTGTCATTTGATTCATTCCATCAACGGGCATCGCCAACCCCTTGAAAGCTGATTTCGTTGTCCAAACTTCCCGTAAGTGAACGGACACACATCCCTATTTTGATCAGCGGGCATCTCTTTGGTGTCTATTCATTTAAGTGCGCTCCTGGCATTCAAAGGAATCAATCAATCCCTCTAAACCTCTGGTCAGCACAAATGATTGATCCGAGTGCATTCACTGCGCACCCAATCATTGGGGGATGCTTGTGGCTTGCGGGCTGTGGCCTGTGGCCTGTGGCCTATGGCCTGCCGCATAGTTTGATAGGAACATTAACCCCAAACGATAGCTCCATGCTCCATGCCATGCCCCTATGCACTTTTGGGGCGGGGCGGTTCTCATCATCACAGTTGAACGCTCCTACATCAATTCCTTTCGTCCTGGCCACCGCTGGCCTTTGTCTAGGACACGGGATGCGTTCTCCGGTACGACTGGCAGTGGGAGTCAATCTTACAAATGATTTTTATACAGACACACGCTGCTTCGGGTTCGTTCATATGAGTGTTTATCGTACTACGAGTACATATGTCTGTGTGTGGTATGCATATTCGCATGCGATAAGTCGAAAAGTGCTACTCCGAATAGAGCTGAATCGAGAGTCGAGAAGGATAACCAAGGAGTAGCCTTCGCTCCTCCACTAACCGACGGACCATTGACCGAACGACTGGTTGTGGTGTCTGCTGTCAATAATCCGATAAAATGCGAATAAGAAAACATTTGAAAGAAATTCCTCACTGCCTTTGCGTGGCTTATTGGATACCCTTTTTGGGATAGAGTCAACCGATTTTAGATTCAAATTGGCTCTGAAGTAGCTGATATTTGTGCTGATTATTGATGGCAATCAAGTCGATTTGAAATCGAAACAAATGTGGCTGTTCGCCTATGGGAAACTTATACACCGAAGGTATCATTCGACGAGACTCCTACAATAATATCACACCCTGAATGAAGGGTATGAAAAAAACTTCCCATTTCATGTGGTGGGGCGGGGGTAATGGGTGGTAAGAGGGGGCGGAACGAAGCTCGATTGAACGCTCAAGTGGGAAAATGTGCACGAAGCGTTAAGGATTCTGGGCGGGAGATGGAATGGCATCCCTACCCCATCAGACCATCACATATATAAAATATGTACATCTTTATCCCCCACACTCCCCTCCATTATACTGCAGCCCCATCTCTCTCTCTCTCTCTACCTTTCTGTCTCTCTCTGGGTGTCTTCTTTTCACGTAATTGCATCAAAATAAAAGAAAAAGCCGAAAATTGTTCTTCACTTGACACTGATCTGGCTTTGGGCGCTCTCCCCCCACGGCCACTCGCATTTCCCCCCCTCCATTTCAATGGCGACTCAATGGAGTGAGGAGCGGCTCTATGGCACACAAGGTTAAGGCCAAATTGGATTGATAACACCTTCGATTATGGCTGAGAAGAGTTAATTGGCACCGAGCGAGGTTTGACAGCAACTGGAGAGCTGGCTGGGATGGAATGGGATGGGATTGGGCGTGTACTCGCACGCGTACACCAAGGGGGAAGGACGAGTACTCATCCAAAAACCACCAAAAAGGTGCGGCAACAGCAACAAGCAAACGCAGCCAACATTTTGTCTGCCTTTTGTTGGAGCAAACAAGCAACAACCCACGCAAAGGCCACGAATTCCCCAGACAGAGACACACGCCCACGCATTCGTGTATATTTAATCCTATTCGCTTAAGCACATCCATTATAGGGGGCTTCACGTTAATTATTTCTTGTTCTTACATCCGATCCTATACAGTACACAAATATATTCTTGATCCGCATTAAGAGACTAGTCGATATAGCCGCCTAGATCTCACAGACTATCAAGCTAGAGCAACCAAATTTTGTATTCAGACAGCTCTGATATAACACTGTTTCAGGAGGAACAAATGAAATTGCGCTACCCCGTCGAAGTGCTTAGTCATTCTCTCTCTCAAGAGAGAGGGAGTATCGGGTATAAGTATAGGGTCGCAGCCCCTACCTACGACTCGCACCTTTCCCACTCGTTATTGCTGGTCTCACGATCTTCAAAATGAAGTGTAGTGGAATACGACCAACTAGCACCAATAGAGCAACGAGTAGCAGTGAATAGAAAAGAGTAGCAACGAGTAACAACGAGTAGTAACGAGTAGCACTGATTGTAAGTTGCACAGTGATGAAAATGTAAATTTTTGTTGGCAGTTTATGTTCAAATGGGATAACGGAATGCTGGGTAGAATAAGTTTTGTTTATAAGACAATTTTGATGCTTTCTGATTGAACCTATCAATTGCAATAGAAAAGCATTTTTCAGTGATTATTTTAGTATTATGAACTGATAGTAAATCTACATCTGTGTATATTCTTCTATCCCTGCTCTGGGCATTCTTTCTCCCCCTCTGTGTCCTTGCCGAAAACAATCAATCATGCAACAGCTGCAGCAAAGCGGAAAGAGCGGGACAACGACAAGCCAGAAGCCGCAGGACCTCAGTTTCCTGAACGACTCGACGCCCATCTATGTGACGTCCTTCACCAGCAACCAGATCACGTGCTGCAGCTCCACCATGACAACGGCCACGGCGGGCGGCCCCATCTCCGCCCCAATGCTGGCACCCACCACAGCGACCTGCACGATGCCCACGCCCGCCGTCGAGCAGCAGGCGGCCAGCCAGGGGGCCTCCGCGCTGGTAAGTGCCGCTGTGGCAGCGGCCACCGCCGCCGATCGCAATGCCAACAGTACCACCGCAGCGGCCCTCAAGCAGCAGAGGCAGAAGCAGCTTCCGAGCTCCGCGTGCAACACCGCCACAGCGATCAGCGCCATCGCGACAAGCAGCTCGACCAGCAGCGCCACCGGACAGATCTACCAGGCGAGCCAGGCCCAGCAGCAGCAGCTGCAGCAGCTCCAGCAGCAGCTGGCGGCGGCCGCCGCTGCGGGGAAGCCCCTCCAGGCCAAGTCCCTGCTCGCGACCAGCCTCCAGCATCTGGCCGAGGAGGTGGACAACGAGGACCTCGACGACGACGACGACGACGTGGACGGGGCCAACTATTGCGGCATCACCTACATCTCGTACAACAACAAGCATGCCCAGCTGCCAACGACGACGCTGCCGGCCAGCACAACGCTCCCGGCGGCGGCGGCCACCCTTGCCACCACGGCGGCGATCCACCAGCAGCGGCAGCAGCAGACTCACGCCCAAACCCACAACCGCCCTGCCCCACTGCAGCTGTGTGCCAGCGATGTCCAGTTCGTGGATGCCGGCACCTCGACGTCGCCCCTGCTGGCCGCCACCAGCATTGTGACGGCAGCGGACATCGCCTTGCCGCCGAGCGGCGGCCATCTCCACGGCACAACGACGCCCAAGACCGAGTACTCGACGGCCATTTCCAGCGGACAGTTGCAGCAGGCCTTTGCCGAGCTGCAGTTGCAGTACTCCACCAATAACAACACCTCACAGCAGCACCAGCAGCAGCAGCAGCAGCAGCAGCCACAGACACAGACACATTTCCATCAGCAACATTTAATTTTAAGCAACAACAATAATAGCAATAATTCCATCGCATCCAGCGGCATCACGACATCAGCGGCCACAGCGGCAACGGCGGCAGCCACAGCGGCATCCGTGATGAAGAATTGTGATCTACTGATAGCCAACAATCTGTATCCACCGAGACGAGAGGTGAATTACTCCTTTTGTTTGGATTTTTGGATTCTTCATTTTCATTTTTAGATCTGCTTTCATCTCAACGAATCTGTTTTGTTCTTGGATATGTTTTCTCTTTGATTTTAATATTTAAAAACATGCAAATATTTTACATAGTTATGTTGGCGGGGGGTGTGGCGTTTCGTTTGCGTTTGATTTCATTTGACATTAATTTGGAACTTTTCATCAGATCTGTGGAGCTGTCAAACTCTGTAATTGGTTTACTCTTGATTTCTCAATTTTCCGGTTTGCTTTTTGATCTGTGGGGGCGGGGCGGGGAGTTGTACGACAGTTGCCACAAGAATTTGCGCAACTTGCACCCTGATTGATGACAGTTGAAGACCGTTGAACTTGCTTTTGTTATTTTGCACCCAATTATTTGATGAGCGACGTTGCAACTCATTTGCTATCGGGGCACACACGCATTTCTTTTTTCTTTCATATTTGTTCTTTTTGTTTGATAATATTTGCTCATTGCTGTTGCATTTCAAAGACTTACTAAATACTTGCATCCTCTTCTTGCCCAAACAGTTACTAGATGACGTCATTGTTCATCAATCCAGCGATGTCCATGCATACAACACCAATGTAGCGACAGCAACAGCGACAGCCAACAGCAGCAACAATCGATCCCAGCAGCAGCAGCAGCAGCAATTGCTGAGTGCCGCCTACGAGCAGCAGCAGCAACAACTCTTGCAACAGCAGCAGCAGCAGCAGCAGCAGCTGCAACACAGTCCCACAAGTAGCATATCAATAGGAAGAACAGAACTTTTATTGGGTGATCAGAGTCTGCGGCAGGACTCCAGCAGGTGAGTGCTCTTACAGTTCTACGACCACTGTGTCCGTCCGCGCGACGTAAACTGTAGCCTAATCGGCAGGCGCAGCCCCGTCACAATGCTTACAAAACTGGCATTTGGGGAATGGGATGCGTGGCCTGTATTCGAAGGATTCCGAAGGATGAATAAATGCTAGATAGGGACATCAAGACCATGAAGATGCAACAGCAGACACTGGGTCCTGTATCTGCACCGCCCCTGCCAAAAAGATATTTAAACCTTTTCATAAAGTGTTTTAAGAAGCGCTTATGGCCAGAGCTTCCGCAGCATTTGACGGGGATTTCTGTTTAGCTATGATCCTTTCTGTTCTGTTTGCAGATTCATTTGTTGAAATATGTGAATGTTGAATGAATGCGAATGTGAGTGGTGTATGTGAATGTGACTGTGGTAGAGAGTGTTTGTATTTTATGAAGCATTTATTACCGCTTTGGTTGCCTGCTGGTCCCCTGCTGCTGCTCCTTCATCCTGTTCAATGGCTCTCGAATCCTCCGGCTCTGGTTCTGGCTCTGGCTCTGGCTCTAGCTCTCCTTTCGGTCCTCTCCCATCCTGTGTCCTGCTGTTGGTTTTGGCTGGTCTGGAATTTTGCACGCTTCGGAAATACCTGGTAGCGTGGCAGCATGTGGGTTGCTGCATGGCTGAGTGGGTGTTTGGGTGTGTATACTCATGGTTGTTTTTATGACTGCTTATTTATTCACTCGCTTCGCTCTGTTCGCTGGGTTTTCCACCTGGCTGGCTCAGGAGAGTGCCCAGGGCTCAGAGCCCACAGCCCAGAGAGGTTATGGCTCCTGGGTCTGGGTCTGGGTCTGGGTCTCGGTCTGCTCCTCCTCATCCTCATCCTCATCCTCATCCTTGTGCTGCGTTTTGCGTTCCGCCTCTGGCCATCGTTGACGTTTTTCACACATATTTCCCAGACTTTTTGCTCTCTCCCGCTCTCCCGCTCTCCCGCTCTCTCGCTCTTTTGTGGCAGGTGCGTCCTTCGTGGCATCGCAAATGAACCTGTTGTGATTTCGCCCGCGGGCAGCAGCCATCAGCAGCAAAAACTATACACAGGGCCCACCTCCCTGCCACTGCGGAGAGGTGAGCAGAGGAGACCACCCTGCCCCTTGTTGGGGCACGTGCGCCATCATTTTATGCTCATTATTAATTAACGAGTTATTTTCCTCGCCCGGTGATGAATATTTATACATTTTTAATCGATTTGCGCCCTCGTAAAAGTTGGACAGCGACTGCAGTCTGCACAGTTTGCAAGCCATTACAGTGATCGAAGAGGGAACGGGAACCGATTATACTCAGATAATTATTTATCGTTTATCCGAGGAATATTGAAGAGACTGTCTTGACCAGAGAGAGGGAAAGCGAAAGAGAAAGTTGGGTATTATGCCCTGGAGACCATGTGCCGTGGCGTTTTGATCCCATTTTGGATATGTTTATGTATGTTGCATGTCTGCCTGTCTCTACTCGTATCGCACATGTGTGCGCTTCTAATGCTGGTGCAAACTTTTGGCGGTCAGTGTTTTGCGGCTGGCCATCAGGGACGGGCTGCCGTCTCGTGTCCGTCACTCGATTTTTCGAGTAACAATTTCGGAAATCTGCTGACTAATCAGTTGCACATAGAATCCAGACAGCCAGCAAATGATGTTCTGTTCCCCTGTGGATGATGATGATGATGATGATGATGACACTTGATATGGCTTTGGTCGGAGCGGTGGGGAAGGGAAGTCGCACTCGAGTTCGAATGTGCATTATCCAGAAGTTGTTGTTGGCTGCGCTGCTCATTTGGGCCTGCGGGGGGTACCTGTCCAAACTGTTTGCTGCCTGTTGCATGGCCTACGCTTAACCCTCTTGTTGCAACATTCGTGCCACTGCTCTCGGGGCACTCGTCACGAGCAATTGACATTGACAGCGGATGACATTTCTCTCTGCCTTTCTGTCTGTGCCTCTGTTTCGGGAATTGTGCAGTCCCAGAAGTTGAACAAAAAATGAGAAAGTCGATTGTATTTGATGGTCCACACACGCCGTAGCAGCAGCACTGCCCCAGTGGTTTTCAAACTGCAAATGTCCATTTCCGTTTTTGCTGATAAAACTGTGGCCTCCCTGTCAATAGGTTGAGCTGATGTCAAGCGATGTGCCATCCATTGTCGCCAATGGAATGTCTGTCTTACCATCAGATTCCTTCCCATCGAGAAAAGTTGCATTGTCGTGTGCTCGAAAAAAGAAGAACCGTTGCCCGTTTTCCACTCGGCCGCATGATGCTTTACGAATTTCCCATAAGCGAATGGACTCCCGAGAAGATGCCATTCGCCACGAAACATACGAGCTTATTGACTATTAAATCCAGTCACAGGTGAACGTTGGAATGTTTGAAAGCTGGAACATATACTGGATACTGTGGATACTCTTACATGTGAATGTATCCCTGTCAAAAATCACTCTATTTGTGGCTCCTCAACTGTGGAGTCTTTTATTTCCTGTGAAAAGTAAAGAGCTGTAGAGAATGATCTTTGGCCAGCCCCAACGACAGTGCTGCACATACTGCGGCCCTCAAACTGCGGACTTGCCATCTTTGGCATGCCAGCCATGTAGCCCTGTATCTGTAGCCATATTGCGGGATGGCCTGGACGGGGCCTGGCCGTGGCTCTGACACTGCGGTCTCTCCCGGCCCCGGCCCCGGCCCCGGGCCCAGCCACGTCCACGTCCATGGTACGATTGGTACGCGAGGCACGCGCAGGCGCAGCATTTCTGTTGATTTTTTGTTGAGGTCTTGTTGGGGTAGGACTTGGTCTTGTGGCAGATTAGAGAAGAGGAGTAAAGAGAAGAGAGGTATGTGGCAGAAGCAAAGCCCAAGAATCAGAAGCAGAAACAGAAACAGAAACAGAGACACACACAGACAATGGATGGAAGTGATGGTCAGGTCAGTGTTTCCCATGGGGCCATGAGAAATCAATTAAAGGTGCCGCCTGCTTCGGCATCTTAAGCCCTTTTTCTTCTCCTTCTCTCTCCCTTTCTATCTCTCTCTCTCTGCCTATAATCTGGCTAGCCAAAAATGTAATTAAATCATTAATTTCCTGTCGTTAGGACCACAGAGTTGCCAGAGCACTATTAACGAAAAGTAGACACATGGCCGAAAGGCCCGCTCTCCCTCACTCGCTCTCCCCAGAGATGTGTGTGCTCTCTAGAGCAGAAAAGAGAGTGGGTGAGAGAGGGAACGAATGGTGGGACAGTTTGAGTGTAGAAGAGAGAGAGAATCAACAGACGAGCAAACGAGCAGAGGCAGAGGACGCGCAAGTTATTTTGAAAGCACAAAACTAAAGAAAAAACAACAAAAAACAAAAATCAAGCGCACGGCATTCCGACTGCAAAAATACCCACTACCTGGGTATATCCTATATAAGGCATTGGGAGGAAAACCAAAGGAGAGTTCTACAGGAAAAATACACATCTCTTTAGGTTTGAAAATATCGTAGATCGGTATATGACAGACATGCATACATATAGTGTATAGTACCTGAATACCCTACAAATATGGAATTTGAATCAATATAGATAGAATTATGATATGTATGATCTTTCGTTTGTTTAAGCATTTTGCGAGACTTTTTTGATATTTCTAGGTAGTCGATATGCTTGCATTTATGTTTTTCATTTAAAATATAATAAGCAAAATATTTATTCGGAAAAGATATCACAAGGGGCTGGCGTGAAATAAGGTATAATATCATATCATATTAAATAAATCAAAATAAGTCACAACAGAATGTTTTAGATATCAAAGTTTTCTATACATCTTTTGAAATTGTAAATGCCACTGGAGGTTTATATCGAACTGATCATAAAAACACTCTTTTATCTCGTTTCGTTCTGCCTTCTCTACGGAGCATACCCTTGTTCTGTTTGTGATGTTTGGAGGGTATCATAAGTTGGAAGAATATAAAATGAAATCATACTCGCACACTCACCCTCACATGGATATATGGAGAAGAGTGTGTGGGTGTAACTTGAGATAAATCCGTTATAATAATTCTGAGCAACTCTGGGATTGTGGAACGGAGCGACGGCCCCTCCTTCATAGGGTTCGGCTAAGGGGGAATGGTCGGGAAGGGGGGGCCAAAGGCAAACGACGACCCAAATGATGCCCCACAGGCTCTCGCACACACACAAAGGAGGCAGAGCTCAAGTGAGCCTCAACTCAAGTGTACGTGTGTGTGTGCCTCAATGTTGATTGTATCTTGTATCTTTGGAGGATACTTCTCTGTGCTTTGGGTCTCTTCTTTTCCTTCTTTCCGCTCTCCCCCTCTCTCCACCTCGCTCTCAAACACAATGAGAGCTTACCTTTGTGCGGGCTTTGTTTTGCGTTTGCCTCTCTCTGTCTTTCTCTCTCTGATACACACAATGTCTTCTCTATTTTATTTGTTGTCTGCCTGTGTTCTTTGCTCTGCCTTTTGCCACAGGTATGGCGATGGATCCTCTGTGCACAGAAGGAAAACAGGGAAAGAACAAAATAGAGGGGGATAAGGCTGCAAAAGAACAACGGTATTCAAAAAGGGAGGCCCATGAAAAGTCACAGGAGCAACAGGAGCCGAGAGAAGGGCACGATACCCGCAGTTTTGGCCATGATTTCTCTGATGATCTGTAAGCCATGGCTAGGAATGCTACCTGCTTCACACCCACCTAACGATCTCTCTTCCTTTCTTTCGCTCTCTCTCTCTCTCTCTCTCTCTCTGTTTGTTCCTGTGCGACCGGGGTGTGTTTTGTATAAGGTGTGGCACTGCCTCTTCTCTCGCTCTCCCGTATCATGAGAGCATTCTGTTTGGAATATATCACCTTGTTTAAATGCACCCTGGCATGGAGCTGCGCGCAGTCTCAGTCCCAGTCGCAGCTTCTCTTCTCCTGCCTTTGGGGCACGTCTTGGTTGTGCAGGCAGTGGCCGGAGCTGTGGCTGTGGCTGGGACTGGGGCAGGGACAGGGGCACACAC